TCCGCCGCTGTACCTAGCAGTTAGCAAATGATATACTATGGAAGACACTTAGGGAGAATAATAAGCTTGCCTAACCTGTATGAGATAAGGTACAATATCCTTTTGAAAAAGCAGGGGATTCTGAGGGCTGTGATATAAAAAAGCCTGGCAATTAAAGTGCAGTATGTCCATTCCTGTTATGATAATCATCCTAATCAGAAATCACTATAAGAACAAATGGCATAAAGGAAGTATATAGGCAACCTATAACTCTCAAGCAGAAAACAAGTAGGGTAGAAGAAAAGGTATAACAAGCTAAGAATAAACGTGATACTTGGAACAAAAGAATCTATACAGACTGTATCATGCCTTGGGATACTCCCCTCAATCTAGAGCAGTACTCTTGTCCATCGTATGTCAGTGAAGAAACTCAAGGCAGGTTATCAGACAGGCAAGGTGGATGAGAGAATATTTTTTTATTGGACCAACTTCTGTTGAAGAGAGAAAGAGACAAGCTTTCAAACTTATACAGAGCTCTTCTTCAGTTGTGGTAATCTTACTCATAGTGTGACATGTAAATACAAGATGGAACAGATTGCCACAGCTAGATGTGTAACACTCTGAGTACATTTCCCAAATTTGAAGAAGACCTCAGTGTGAGCTTAATTAGGTACCAAGAATCAGCTAGAGTCGAGGCCAAAGGTAAGAACCAAGCTTTAAAACTAAGTTATCTAGAGCAAATCTAGAATTCTTACAGCCACTAACCTATACCTGCTATGGCTGGGCTTAAGAGCTGCCTTTCAAGCTATTAGGCAGTATAGCCAAGAGGGATGTAAAAGGTTAACTTGTTACCTCGTAAGCATTAGCCTTAATAGCATGTTTACTGGGTAACTGCCGGGGAAGCAGTATCTGAGTCATGGCAGGGCCCCCTCTAGAGCAAATCTAGAATTCTTACAGCCACTAACCTATACCTGCTATGGCTGGGCTTAAGAGCTGCCTTTCAAGCTATTAGGCAGTATAGCCAAGAGGGATGTAAAAGGTTAACTTGTTACCTCGTAAGCATTAGCCTTAATAGCATGTTTACTGGGTAACTGCCGGGGAAGCAGTATCTGAGTCATGGCAGGGCCCCCAGAAGCAGACCAGCAGCTGG